GAAATTGAAGTTATGTGGGTTTATGCCATGAAAAGTGAAATTGAGGATTTATATGTGATCTTCTAGAATTGATGTTATGAGTAGTAAATGTTCAAGAATAGAAACATGTAAAAATGAATTGAACTATATTATAGTATATATGATGGATCATGACTAGTAAAGCTTGAAGTTGAACCTTTATGATGAATTATAACTAGAATCACTTGATAATGAAGAATATGATTAGAATGCCTTGAAATCTAGGTATGCATGATGACAGTAAAAAGAAAAACTTGAAGGCATGAATTGATTAGATTAGGGCTTATATTATGAATCATGAATATATTTCCTAAGATGAAGACTTATACACATGAATTTGCTAAGATCAAGTATGTATGATGATATATGGCTAGAATTGCTTAAGAATGAAGCATGTGGTTAGATTATCTTGAGAATTATGCATATGTGATGACCATGTGAGGTGTTGCTTGAGAGTAAAGATTGTAGTATGAATGTGATTCCTAGGGCTTTGAGGGTAAAATCTAATATGAATGAACCAAGAATGTTAAGGCTTTTAGAGTGAAGCCATCATGCATGTTGAATTGTATATGATATTATTATGGAAAGACTTCACCAACATGACCTATGTTATGATTATATGGGATTATGCATGTAGTGACTTGATTACTTGAACTATGATTATATCCATGTCTAATATAATGAATTTTAGATGTGTTGATTGAATATGGTCCTTGGTCCTTGAAAGGGCAAGATATGATATTATACATGCTTTATGAAGGTTGTGTACATGCTTTAAGAATACATTTTGTGAAAGTAAAGTGATTATGACTTTGATGTAATAGTGGTGTTGTTGCAAGGCTATTCTCTCTCTCACACATACACTTATGCATAACTATTAATGAAAAGACCATGATTATGATGATATTATTGTGTTGATGTGAAAGGTTTTCTCACATAATGAAGATTCTAGGTTGAAAGTCAGTTCTCACCTAATTGAATCTAACATAATGAACATGATGTGAAAGGTTTGCTCACATAATGAAGATTCTAGGTTGAAAATCAGTTCACACCTAATTGAATCTAACATGAAGACATGGACGGTGAAAGGTTATTCTCACGCATGATCTAATGAGATATCCTAATGAAACAAGTTAGGATTCAATAAGTACTCCATGAGAATTATGCTTAGCACCGAGTGGATATTGAATATGAGAAAGAGGCTTTTCTGTTAAGTAAGACTGGGTCTCTAAAAGTAATCTCATGAGATGGAAGCTCCCCCATTAAGTAAGGTTGGGGTTTCTAGTATCAATCTCTTTATCCCATAAATTATGTTCCCCCGTAGGTTATTTAGCTATTGGATCCACCCAAAAGCTAATACATATTAGTTCTACCTTAGGCAAGTAGGACACCTCTTTTTGGTGGGGGGCATGACACCAGATTCCATGTTAAGCTCACATGGTCTATGTCAGTTAAAGCTAATTCCCACAAGGTCAAGTCTAGTATGGACTATGGTTACGCAAGAGGATTTACTTAGTATGGATGAGATTATGGGATCTTATTCATGCATTGCACAAGTATGCTTTGAGGGTAGTTGTGGTATGTTGCTTTTATGTTATGATGGTCTATGTGATGAATAGGCCTATGACTTATGCTTATGATATATGCTTGATAGGATTGTGCTATAGTGGTCTTCCTTGTGATGTTATTATTGACTAAAGGTGAGAGAATTCCTTGGTTATGAGAATTATGCTAAGGATGAGAACCTAAGATGGTAAGTATGATTATGATTACCAAAGGGGATACTTAGCATGTATGGGATTATGGGATCCTATCCATGCATTGCACAAGTATGCTTGGAGGTTTCTTATGAAATGGTTCTCTTATGATATGAAGGTTTAAGTATTGACTTTGTATATGGACTAGGCTTTATTATGACTAATGCTTACATTATGTCTATGTTGGAGATTATGCATATGATTATGTTAGTATCTCTTATGCTTATACTTTATGTTTCATGAATTATCTCTTATGTTTATGACTCATGTTTTATGTTGTCTAACCCTTGTGTTATGCTCTTATGATGCTATGCTAGCTATCATATTTAGTACATTTTGTACTAACGCATACTCTTGCCTACATTCTAATTAAATGTAGGGTTCAGTGATTTGATTTCCGTTCTTGGGGATAGGTTTCTAAGGACAAAGAAGTTGAAGATTTGGTGAGTCCTCATAGCTTCGAGGATGTGATCACTTTTCCCTTATTTTTTCTTTCTTTTATGTTTTAGACTATTGTATGGGCTACGTCCCAAGGTTCTATTCAAGGTTGTATTAGATGGTTTGAGACAAAGTATTATAGATTCCTGCTTGCTTTTATAAAATACTTCGATTGTATGGAAAAAGTTTTTTAAAAATTTCCGTACTTTTCTATTATCTTATGTTATGATATGCTAAGTGGCTTGTATGAGATCCTTCGGGGTCAAGTACGCCATGTTACATCTAAGGTGTACCTCTAGGTCGTGAAAAACTTGGTAATCAGAGCATAAGGTTTATAATGGTTCTAGGATTGTCTCAAACCACGTTTAGTAGAGTCTTGTTCATAAATGTGAAACACGCCACATTTATGAATAAGAAGCTATTAGATGATTAGGAAACTTCACTTCTTCATTCTCTAAGTCTTGCCATACAGTTTAAATCTATAAGGTCTTTCTCCTTATCCGATGGTCTTCAAGATATGACTACTCAAATGGCTCATGCTACAAGAAGCAAGGGAAACAAGAATGGTTGTGATGTCAATTATGGCTATGTGACTAGATAGGACTTGATATGCTAGATTTAGATGTCATCCTTAGGATGTATTAGTAGTATTAGTGATTATGCTCCTATGAGATTGTAGAACCCGTATACTTTTAGGGTTGCATGTACCACATAGCTAAGGTGAGGGAGATATGTTTAGGTGTTGACCAACTTCAAAGAGTTAGTTACCTTGTTAATTTTGATCTTAGGTATGGTCATTTTGAGTAGGGTGTTTAGATAATAACTAGACATGATTGAAGGGTAGAACCCTACTTGGCTATCTTGAGCTTTGGGTATGTTGAAGAAGACTTAAGGAAAATGGTGTTTAGAAGAGACCTTTAGGCGTTCAATTAGTATAATCCTAATAAGGGTAGTAGTATAGTACACCATAGTTTAGAATCACCATGTGTGATGAAGATGAAGGCTTAGTGATGACTTAATCCGACCTTAGTTAAATTGAAATGAATGGTGCTTGGAAAGTCCGTTTAGGCTTGCTCCCAGGGGGGAGATGATGTGCTTAGTAAGCAAGGGCCCATTTTTTCTAGTTGCTGGTCACCATCCACAAAGGACCAGTATAGTCCGTAGAACCACCCACGGTCCGTGGGTCGGGGTCTCGTGGGTGAGGCAGTTTTGAAGTTAAGTCATTTTAAGTTTGGGACTTAGGGGTTAATTCATTATTAGTTAGGGGTTAAGTAGGGTCGTTTTATTAGTAATAATACCACCTATATAAACCTTATAGACCCCTAAACTAAATATATTAAGTCATTCTTCCAAGACCCCAAAACAAACCCAATTCCCTCCAAGAAATTCTCTCTCTAGAAAATGAAGAAGAAGAAAAAGAAGAGAAGAAAGTTAGGTAAAATTCCTCCATTGTTGCAAGATTTTGTTAGGGCTTTATATCCAAGGTATGATAGCGTATTCATCCTTGAATTATTCCATCCATGGAGCCCCTTAGAATTATCCTAATTGTGAATATGAACCCAATTGTAGCTAGGGTTTCTTCCTATGTTGTGGGTAGTGTTGAGTATGATTCCAATTTAGTGGATAGTACTTGTTTATGATTGATTTAGTATTGAATTATGTTATTATGAATATATTATGTGTTTTCCATGGTTAGCCCTAGTCTAATTGATGAAATTGATGTTATGTGGGTTTATGTCATGAAAGGTGAAATTGAGGATTTATAGGTGATCTTCTAGAACTGATGTTAGGCGTAGTAACAACACTACCTGGAGAATCCATAAGAAGTTCATGGGATATGTTCACTGGGTTCATGATAAGTGTTCCGAATCACCGCATATATGATGAGTCACTGAATGAGTACTTCTATAGAGGACATGATGACAATGGAAGGGCTGTGTTAGATATTATTGCTGGAAGGTCATATGGTGAGTGCACTATTGAGGAGATCCCTGAAAAACATGAGAGGATTTCCCAAAACAATAAGGCATGGAGCACTAGAAAGGCAATTACTAGAAGGAGCATGTTTGCTGTCCAAACTGCACCAAGTCAATCCAATGATGACATTCGTGAAGAGATGGCTCAAATGAGGACATAACTGGGCTTGGTATTGAAGCATGTGAGTAAAAATGCAGAAAAGGTGAATGCGGTAAATTATCTAACTAGAACTCCACCACCTCCAGTTGAGGAATGTTACTATGAAGAGGATGCAAATTTGGTGAATGATCAGACGGGGGGTTTCCGAACCTCGCCCAAGGTTCTAACTCGGATAATTGGTGCCAAGGTCAAGGAAATCAAGGTCGAAACTATGGCAACTACAACTGCGAGTTAAACTATATTCGAGATGGGAATTACAATCGTGATAACAGTTACAACCGAAACAACTATGGTAATAGGAATGAGAGAGTTGGGCCTTATGTTCCACCTCGTAATAAAGAATATGGTCATAGAGATGCTGGTAATTCTAAGACTTCCATTCAGGATATGATGCAAAAAATGATGAAGAGGTTTGATGGGACAAATGAAAATGTGAAAGAGATGTGTAATGATTTATCCGGGATTCGTCAGAATGTGGATGCCCATGCTGTGTCAATAAAGCTACTTGAGCAGCAGTTTAGTTAGTTGTCCACTACTGTGAAACCAAGTCAGCCTGACACATTTCCAAGCAACACTATCCAGAATCCAAAAAATGATGGGCATTGTATGACAATCACTACTCATGGAGGAAAATAAACTATTGATCCCCCCATGCCATCTGAGGTTGAAAGAGTGGTAGAAAAAGATGCGGATGAGATTGAGTTTACTGGAGAGTCAAAAGATGCCACAGAAAAGGAAGCTGAGGTGACCCAAAAAGTTGTTCCCATGCCTAGACCTCCACCTCCCTTTCCACAAAGGTTGGTGAAAAAGACTGAAGAAGGAAAATACCGCAGGTTTATAGCAATGTTGAAACAACTTTCCATTAATGTTCCGTTGATATATGCTTTGGAGAAAATGACTAGGTATGCAAAATTCATGGACTTGGTGACCAAAAAGAGGGCTGTCAATTTTGAGAATGATGAGAGGTTTCAACATTGTAATGCTATCGCTACTAGGTCACTTGTGCAAAAGAAAGTGGATCCTGAAGCATTCACTATCCCCTGTACCATTGGTATGTTGTATTTTGCAAAGGCCTTGTGTGATTTGGGTGCCAACATTAATTTGATGCCATTGTCGATTTACAAGAACTTAGGTTTAGGAGCTCCAAAACCGACTGTGATGCGTTTAATTATGGCTGATAGAACTGTGAAGAGGTCCATTAGAGTGTTGCAAGATGTCCTTATGAAATTAGAGTCATTTATCTTTCCGTCGGACTTTGTTATCTTAGATTGTGAGGTTGATTTTGAGGTTTCCATCATCTTAGGGAGACCATTTCTTACTACTGGGAATGCGTTGGTTGATATGGAGAGAGGGCAGATGAAATTCTGATTAAAAAATGAGGAGGTAACTTTTAACAAATGTAGGTGTATGAAATATGAAAGTGATCTTAAATTGGTATCCGTGGTGAATCACATTGTGGGGCAAGAATCTGAGGTGTCCATTAAGGAAATGTTAGGTGTTGATGCACTAATAACGGTGATGATGAATTTTGACAATGATGGAATTGATGAGTATGATGAGCTAGTTGCTCCACTTGATAGGTTCGAGTTTCGTTTCAAGCCAAAACGGTTGAAATTGGATATGAAGAATCGTGACACCCCACCTGCAAAACTGTCTGTTGATGAGCCTCCAAAACTAGACCTTAAGGTTCCGCCAGCCCACTTACGGTATGTATTTTTGGACAACATAGCACTTTGCCTGTAATAATTATTGCTGACTTGAGTGAAGGGCAAATATAGGCTTTGGTATCGGTACTTAAGCGGTTTAAAAGGGATAATGGATGGAATATTGTGGACATTATTTGGATTCCTCCGGGCATTTGTTCTCACAAATTTCAACTCATGCCGGACAGCAAGCCAAGTATTGAGCATCAAAGGAGACTGAATCCCCCTATCCAGAAAGTTGTGAAAAAGGAGATTATTAAATGGTTGGATGCTGGACTTATATATCCTATTATTGATAGTAGTTGGGTCTTCCCTATTCAGTGTGTGCCAAAGAAATGAGGGATCATTGTGGTTCCTAATGCTAAAAATAATTTTGTTCCGATGGGGCCAATGACTGGGTGGAGAGTGTGTATGGACTACCGCAAGCTAAACGCATAGACGAAGAAAGATCAATTTCCGATGCCTTTTATGGACCAGATGCTGGATCGTCTCGCTGGTAAGGGTTGGTATTATTTTCTAGATAGGTATTCGGGCTACAATCAAATCTCCATAGCTCCGGAAGACCATGAGAAGACCACCTTCACTTGTCCATATGGGACTTTTGCCTTCGAAAAGATGCCATTCAAGTTGTGTAATGCTCCAACGACTTTCTAGCATTGTATGATGTTGATATTTTCAGATATGGTGGAGAAAATGATAGAGGTATTTATGGATGATTTCTCTGTGGTAGGTCACTCGTTTGATGATTGTTTGACACATTTGGCTGAGGTACTAAAATGATGTGAAGAGTGCAATCTTGTGCTCAACTGGGAAAAGCGCCATTTTATGGTAAAAGAGCATAAAGTTCTGGGCCATCGGATTGCGCATAAAGGTATTGAGGTTGATAGATCCAAAGTTGAGGTAATATTAAAGCTTCCACCACCCATCTATGTAAAGGGTGTTTGATGTTTTCTTTAACATGCAGGTTTCTACCGAAGGTTCATAAAAGATTTCTTGTAAATTGCACACCCAATATGCAAGCTACTCTAAAAGGAATGTAAGTTTGATTTTGATGATGCTTGTCTGAGAGCATTTGGAGAGTTGAAAGAGAAGTTAACTTCGGCACCTATCATTATTTCACCGAATTTGACACAACCGTTTGAAGTGATGTGTGATGCGAGTGGAGTGGCGCTTGGGGTAGTATTAGGACAGAGGCGAGAGAAAATTCTTCATCCAATTTACTATGCCAACAAAGCTCTGAATGTGGATCAAAAGAACTATATTGTGACTGAACATGAACTCCTTGCTGTGGTTTTCGCATTCAAAAAAGTAGATCCTACTTGCTTGGTACTAAGGTCATAGTGCCTACTGACCATTCTGCATTGAGGTATCTGATGGCTAAAAAGGATGCAAAACCAAGGTTGATTAGATAGGTGCTTTTGTTGCAAGAGTTAGATTTTGAGGTAAAGGATAGAAAGGGAACAAAAAATCAAGTCGCCGATCATTTGTCCAGACTAGAGGAGGAAGCTATGCTTAAGCTAGGAGATGAGGTTGAGATTAATAATGCATTCCCTGATGAACATGTATTGGTTGCCTCTTATGATATTACCCATTAGTTCGCAAATTTTGCTAACTACTTGGCAAGGGATTTGGTTCCATCGGATTTGTCATTTCACCAAAGGAAAAAGTTTATGTTTGATGTGAAGAAGTTCTTTTGGGATGAACCTTACTTGTTTCATGTTTGTGCTGATAGGATTAATCGTAGCTGTGTACCCGAGGTAGAAATGATGAGTATACTCGAGGCGTGTCATTCATCGCCTGTTGGTGGGCACCATAGCGGTATTCAAACTGCTCATAAGATCTTGCAGTGTGGGTACTACTGGCCTACCATCCACCAAGATGCTCATGAATTTGCCAAGTCTTGCGATCGTTGCCAACGAGAAGGAGGAATTTTAAAGAAGCAGGAACTACCTATGAGCCCGATATTGGTGATTGAGTTATTTGATGTCTGGGGTCTTGACTTCATGGGTCCGTTTGTGAGTTCGTATGGGATGAATTATATTCTTGTTGTGGTTGACTATGTATTAAAATGGGTGGAAGCATTTGCACTTTCAAAGAATAAGCGAAAGAGTGTCATCGCATTCCTGAAAAAGAATATCTTCTCCAGATTTGGTACACCTAGGGCAATTATCAGCGATGAAGGTTCTCATTTTTGTAACAAGTTGTTCAAGGCGCTGCTAGAGAAATATGGTGTTCGTCATAATGTAGCCACTCCGTATCATCCGCAGTCTAGTGGCCAAGTTGAGGTGTCAATTAGAGAGATAAAGAAAATCCTTGCAAAGACTATGAACGCCAACAAAATAGATTGGTCAAGAAGGCTTGACGATGCTCTATGGACCTATCGCACCGCATTCAAGACTCCCATAGGTATGTCCCCCTACCAACTTGTATATGGGAAGTCATTTCACTTGCCCATAGAGCTAGAGCATAAAGCAATATGGGCACTTAAGAAGTTGAATTCAGATTGGGGCTCCGCTTCAAGTCAAATACTGATTAAGATGAATGAGCTTAATGAGTTTCGCCTAAATGCATATGAGACTTGAGCCTTGTACAAGGAAAAGATGAAGAAGTACCACGATCAAAAGATTGAAAAGCGCAAATTTGTTGCCGGTGATTTGATGCTCTTATTTAACTCAATATTGCACTTGTTTCCTGGCAAACTCAAGTCCAAGTGGACTGGGCCATTCAGAGTAACCCAATTTTTTCCACATAGAGCAGTTGAACTCGAGAACAAGGACGAAACAAGGTTCAATGTGAATTGTCAGAGGATAAAAGTTTATTTAGGGAAAGCTGAGAGTATCAATGAGGTAATAGAGGAATGGAGTCTTGGTGAAGTCTGAGTAACCAAGGGGTCTACTTCATGCTTCCACGTTAAATCACGCGCTGCTTGGGAGGCAACCCAAGATGTACAATCTAGGCAACTATATGAGTTTCTTTTCGATATAGGAGTTTTCTTAAAATTTTAGTTTTTAGATAGTTGTTTATTAATTTTTGTTTTTAGTGTTGGCTAGATATATATAGAATAGGGTCAGTGTCTAAAAAGTGTCTTCAAAATGTTAAAAGGAAGTCCTAGCGTTTGTTACGTATGCAGGGACGAAGAGGCAAAATCTGCAGAAAGCTGATGCAGTGATCTACGGGTCCCATCGACAGTCGATTGGTCCACCCACAGACCGTGGATGGCATCCGTAGATCCCATGTATGTATTCAAAAATTTTCTAAGTGTTGGAGTGAACCACGGTCCCCATCGACGGACCGTAGGTCATCCCCATGGACCGTCGACAGGGTCTCATGGGTCCAAGTTAGGGTTTCTAATGACCCGACCCGGACCCCTAATTAAATATAACCCTTCATTTTAAATTCATTTCCCACTTCCATCTTTCCCCTAAATCGTTACAAACCGATCAATTACCCCATATTCACCCATTCTCCCAAATTCACAAAGCTTCCTTCCCTCACTTCCATTTTCTCTCCAAAACTTTCAAGGTCCGAGTTTGGTGTCACCGTTGGTCTAGGAGCATTTTCACTCTATCACACACTCACCAACGTTGTTTACTTGTAAGGTAATCAATTTCTCCCAAACTTTGAATTTTTCATTGTTTAAACTTGAAGTCACAACGTTGAACTTGACCTTGGATAATTCAAATGCTTGCATAATTGGTTGAATCTCGTATAGATAATACCCTTGGAATGATGGTGTGTGAGTGTGTAGTTAACTTAAATCGAATAAATAGTTTGGTAGGTCTAATTGAGAGTTTTGACTTAGGGTTTCGTTGTTTCCTTGTGTTGAACCATGAATTTTACATAAATCGAAACCCTACGGATGATGAACTATTGAGTAATATGTTGAAATGCATGTGTAGACTTAGATTTGTTGAATGATTGTTGAAGTAATTGTGTTGAATGATAGTTGAAATTCATTCCTGGCACAACACTGATCAACGACCACCACCCACGGACCATAGGTCAACCTACAGACCATAGGTCATGGTCCATCGACTACAAGTACAAAATTATTTGGCTTAATAATGAACCACGGTGTGGACTATGATCCGTCGTTCCATTGACGGACCGTTCTGCACATCCGTGGTTCCAACTTCAGAGACCCCAAAATTGACTTCTTGACCTACGGAGGGGACCAATGGTCCATCGTTCCATCGGTGGTCCGTAGGTCCCAAACCTACTATTGCCTAAAAGTTTTTTTAGTTTTTGCCTAAGTCCTAATCTTGTTCTAAAAATTTGTCTTGGGCATTCTTGTGTTGTTTAGGTACTAACTAGTTTTCCACAGGTACTATGGCACCGAAACTAGCTCAAGTGTTCACAACGTGGGGAAAGTCTGAGTCTATTGCCCCATCCCGCCGCATGGACATGAACTTCAGCAAGGATGAGAGAGTCCTTGAGGCTACAAGAGACTCCTTTACTGCCCCCAGACTAAAAGGAACAAAGCCCCGCAGAGGGGATGCCCATGACCCCTCTAGAGTTGAGCCGGGTATCAGTGCCACCGAGTCGAATAAGTGGTGTGTTCGTGGCCAGTATCAGATATATAATGATAGGAAGGTGCTCAATGAACATAGGAAGATGGCCAGAACCATTATTGAGCAGCGCCGGGTATTGACCAGGAACCTTCAT